TCTTCCCCATAATGCACACGTCTGATGGTGTCCCTCCCCAGCCCACAACACATCGAGATAAAATCTCAACTATTTTGCTTGCACACAGGCTTGGGTGCTGGCTCTGTCTCCCTCTGCCCGCGCGCCCTTGGAGTCCAGGACGCTGAACGTGTCCGAGGAGTTGCCTCGAAGACACTGCACTGTCAGGCTTCCCTGCCAGTCCCACCACGAGACCCAGCACTAGCCGCCTTGAACCCCGGGCCCAAATGCTGCTCTCTCGTCCCTCTTTATGTGCTTCTGACACACGGGACCATAGGTAAGAATGGGATATTTTTCCAGATATTTTCAGACAGGTTAAAAAGCAGTCCTTGTCCAGGGTGCCCACCGCATTTGGATGACACTCCCAGTCACACAAGCACCCTACTGCCTTCTAATTATCTGCACACACTGAGACTGCGCTTCCTAAAGACAAGGCTGGGCCTTGTGTCTGCCTCCCTAGCCTGCTGCAATGTTCCCCGCGCACCAGGTGCTCACGTTGTTTAAATAAATACATTTAATACTAATTCCGTTTTCTCACCATTCAGTGCCATGAAGGGGCAGCCCACAGAAATCACAGGTTGAAAGTCGATGGCAGCCCACAAAACAAATATAGATATGAAGTTATCACACACACACACACACACACACACGCAGAAAGCGTGTGCGCTTCACACTGTGGATGGGGGTGCTGCCGTGAGAACAGCAGAGCCAGCCAGCCCTCGACGACGACTGAGACAGAGGGAGCGCTGGCAGGCCAGTCTCGCTGGCAGGAAATAGGCTGAGAACAGCGCTCAGAATGAGGGCAGATACTGCCGTCGTGTAATCTCACTCACCGCCCACTCAGCCTTCAACCTCAAAAGCTCACTAACAATTTCAGATAGGCCAAGTGCTCTGTCTCGCTGAAGCCCACTGTCTCACTCTTGGTTTCTTTGGGCTCAGTGCTTTGGGGCAGAAAGGGTGAGTTGAGCTTAAACTGCCTTTCCAGCAATGGATCTTATAGGAAGCCCTCACCCTGCAACCAGAGGAAACGCAGAGAAGGCGAATGGCTTTCTACAGACCAGGTGGAGAGTGTAAAGGTGTTTGGAGGGAAAACCACCTGTGGGCAGAATCCTGCCATGCCAGCTCTGGATGCGTGGACTGGGGCCAGGGGGCTGTGCTCCAAGTAGCGTGCTTCCCTTGCGGGCTGGCGTCAGTATGCTGCAGGCAAATGGCAGACAGGCCATGGACTATGCTGGGTGGCCACCTGGCCAGGGGGTAGGTGCCCTGAGGATTAGATCACCTGCAGAGCTGATGACCACCAGGGCAGGATGCAGACCCACTCTGGCAAAAAGAATGCCTAAACAGCATTCCTAGTCTACTGAACACCCCATGTGGGAAAAACACTAATCTTTTTTTTCCATGCACTTCAACAATAGGAAAATACAATGGGGGGAATTTTAACACTGACATGGCAGATAGAGTTCCCGCAGCACCTTCTTAAAACAACACTGTCTGCAAAGGAGACCCTGGCTTGGAACTCCCCTTTTCATGGCCTCATAAAACACTGATTTATTGACCTTCCAAGATACACCTTTATTGTTTCAGTTTTCCTGGTGTGAGAATTTCTGGTAGATAACTGAGAAAAGCAAGCTCATATTTCCTTATCAACACGGAGAACGCGTTCATATTACCGATTTGCCATTTTCTGGGGAGGAGAGGGGAAGTGACGGGAAGGAAATAATGGGGGAGGAATTTGACATATTTGTTATTAACAAAATGAACTAACAGGCCACTGAGCTGTGTGTCTGTGGTTCTCCAAACAATTTATTACCATATGCCGAGCCTTTCCTCTAGGGTGGGACGGGAGGCAGGGAGACTGCGATGAAGGTGCCAGGCACCCACCTATGGTACAGCCCAGAGCCCCACCCTAGGGGATTTCCTCTACAGGGTCTCCCCACAGGCCCTCCAGGGCCCTGTGGCCTATCTGTTTCTGATTAGTCTCCTTACCATGTCAATAAGGGCCATACAAGTGTTATCTCAAAAAGTATAAATGTTTAATGCCCTGTCTGTTTGGTGGGGCTTCCTGAATTAAGGGCTTTGTGCTATCTGTAAAGTCATAAAAGTATGTGAGGTGTTTTTTGTTTTTTTTTTGGCAAGATTCCTATAAGCCTAAACCACTCACACCATCCTCTCAACTAGACGGCTTTCTTCCTCAGCTGCCTCTTGGAATCATTTCTTCTCTGACCCTTGATTTCCTACCCATTCCCCAAAGACCACTGCAGAAAACCCCTTCCTCCAAAGGTCCTCCCTGATCCCCCAGCTATAGTTAGTCACATCTGTTCTCCACCACCCTCAGCTCTTCTCTTATCACGGCCACTTTATTATTATTACAGCTTGACCCGTCTTGTCCTCTCCCCTGGACTGCGACCTGTGAAGATACAGCTATGCCTCCGACTCATTCGTCTTTCACTAGCACAATGTTTTGTAGCCCATAAATGTTTGTTGGCCTGGGTATGAATGAATCTGCCCTTAGGTATTGGATAACTGGGGATAAACATGGCTGTGTAGAACCAATTACTTTAATGAAAGCCATGTGCTTCTATACTTTCTTACTTGGAATAAACAGCAGACCTGTCAACATAAAAACTTAAAATGTTTTTCTCTGTAGGCAAAATACTCTTCTTATGTCTGAAAACAAATTCCTTCCCAAAGACAAGCAGGCAGAGATACAATCACAGAAAGGTCTTAAAAGGCAAAACTTAATAGCCTTCCAGGTAAGTTTAAACCAAATACAATACTTGCAGATAGAGCACTTTCTAGAAGCTGTTTTTGCCAACTATTTTACAAAACCAATATCCCACCCCCAACCACGCAAAATAATTTGTAAATCCTTGCCCGGTGTGTGATAAGTAACATCAATAGGTTGCCAACAGTTCCTTTTTCTGAACTAATAGAATAGTCAGCCAAAGAAGCAGTAACTGAACCTACAGACTGCTTGTAACCACAGTATCTTTGGGAGATAAGACTGCATTTCCACTTTCACGGTTAATGGGTTCCCACTGGGGAGACTGGGCATAAACAATATCATTTGATTAGAATGCCAATATTATTTGATTGTTTCCTGTTTAGGTATGATTTAAAAATGCACACAACTCAAGTGGCCTAAAGGGAAAGCGAGGGGAAAAGCACTTGTTGAAAGGCGGCTCTGAAAAATAAATTTGTTTTGATAGAATTTGCTGTTAATATTGAAACCTACTGCATGTTATGCATGTGTGTGTGAGAGCAGTTTTTGTAATAGCAATGTGAGACGCTTTCCTTTTCTTTTTCTTTTTTCTTTTACCCTCTTCTACCCGGAGATTCGTTTTTAAACTGAGCACCTGACAGGGTTTTCTCTGGTGGCTTAGCTGTTCACTGAAGCCCTGGTAGCACCCTGTCCAGCCTGTTGGACACTTCATTAAGCAACATCTGAAGTGCTTAAAATGAAAAATTCCATTAAGTTTTTCCGCCTTCTCTTCCCTCAACCATTCTAAGAGACGCATACACATAGGAAGGAAATAGAATGAATTTTCTGTTCCAGCCTACGGCACATTCCGGTTATTTTTGTGAAGGCTTTAATCCCTGGCTGGCTTTCCCCCTCTTCTCACCCCAAACACAGTCTGCAAGTGGCTCTGAGGTCTGCACGGGATTCTGGGCTATTCTGCTGACCGGTATTGACAGCAGCCGAAGCCACTTTTAACAGAGAAAGGAAGTCTGGATCTGCTGAAACCAAGAAAACCACCACCACCCTCCCTTCTGCGGAACCTCCAAATGCGCTCGGTTGCTGTAGTATTGGTGGTGCTGAGTTTGCCACACTAGAGCGCTTCTCCGTGGAGACATAAAATCAGTAACTGGCTTTATTTAATTGGCAAGTGTGCTGAGTGATCTGATTAATTTCTTCCGACAAGAATCGGGGAAGACGCTCATTTGGGGGGGCACCCCTAGCACCCTTCAGGCTGAAGCTCTTCACCAGCATGTGGTACTTTCTGAGGACGGGAGGGTGCGGGGAGAGGGGGGAGTCCTGAAGGGAGCCGCAGCAGGGCCTGCCACCCGTGAGGCTAACCACTCACTGTCTCGCGGTGCGTATTGGCCCAGCCCAGCTGAGCTCTCAAGGACCTGGGCTGTTTCTGGCTTCCCGACTGGCTTGAAGCACCGCGTGTGCCTCGGTTTCTCCAACTGCAAACAGTATTTTGTCCTTACACCATCAAAGGGGTTCTGAGAACAAGTGATTCTACGGTTATTCAGGACCAGAATCTGAACCGGTGGACCTTAAGCTACTTGGGAGGAAAGTTGGAGTGGAGAGGGGAGACATAAAACAGAGGGGGGCAGGAAAAGGAAAGGGAATGTCAGCTTTTCTAAAGAAACTGCCCAGTTCGGTTTCCCGCACGCTCCAGACAGCCACGCGAGGCGAATATTGCTCTAACCTTTAGATGACCAAGGAAGCTGAGGTGGGGAGAGGGTGCGAAGCCCAGTCGGAGGGACCGACCTAGAGCCCCCCACCCCCACCCCGGGGGCTCAAAACGGCCTGAGACCTCGTCTTTAGGAGTGGCTACCGAATGTGGGCGTTGTGTGCGCCTCTGACTTTGCTGCCTCGCATATTCTGTTCCCAGGGGAAGCAGCTGTGTCTACCCAGCAGCTTCTCCGCGTGGGAACTAACTGGGGCTCCAGAAATGTCTGGGGGAATAAACGACACCAAAGCCTGCCACGAAAGCGGGCTGCTGGAAGCGCCCGTGTCCGGGGCTGGGGTCCCGTCATTCCCCCCGACAGCCCCCAATACCCCATCCACGCGCCCTTTGCTTCCTGCCACTGTCCAACCCTCGTCACTGCCTCCCCGGGTCTCTGTCCCCCAAATGGTCAACTCTTGCTTCTCCGTCCAGGTCTCGGGACGTGTCCCAGCCCCCGCACCCCCGTCCTTGTCCCAGGTCCCGAGAAGGCGCCGGGGGCCGGCGGGCGTGCGGCCTGCTTACCTGCAGCTGGCAGAGCAGCGCGCAGAGCGCGAGCCACGCGGGCAGCGGGCGGCGCCGCCGGGCGCGCGGGACCATGGCCGGAGCAGCGGGCTGCGCGCCGCACTCTGCGGCCTCTGCTGGCGGGGCGGGCGGCGGGCTGTCCGGGGCCTCAGAGTCCG